ATGGGTTGATTAGATTTTTTTACCCAATATTTCCTTGGGCATGACTATTTCCCAAAAGTGTAGCTGAGCCAATACAAAAGCACAATACTATATTTCTAATATTAACAGTGAGAGTAACAACAATGTAATGTATTTCTATTCAGACCTTTATTTTTTAGGACAACTGTGATTGAAACTTGAGCACTCAGCTGGTTTACAGTCTGGCCTCAGACAGTACCTTCAGCTGCTGTGTTCTCTCTACTTGCTCTATTCTTCCTCTAATACTTTCAGAGTCACTCTCCCTACCTCTGGTGCTGTGGCCTTCTCTGCAAATCTCCCGGGTTTCCCTGTCCCTCTCACCGAGAAGGAATGGTAGGTAGCAGCCTTTCTACTTTTACATACTCCTTCCCCATGTCACAAGTAGACCCCAGAAATCACCCATTTTTCCTATTTAGTTGTCTCCCTCTTTCACTAGACTAATAATTTCTTTTTAAAATCTTTTTTAAATGTGATAAAATATACATAACATCGAATTTACTGTTTTAACTGTGTGAAATGTACAGTTCAGTGGCATTAAGTACATTCATATTGTTGTGCAATCATCACACCATCCATCTCCAGAAATTTTCATCTTGGAACTGAAACTCTTTGCCCATTAAACAATAACTCCCTATTTCCCCCTCCCACAGCCCCTGGAAACCCCCATTCTCCTTCTGTCTCTATACATATGACTACTCTAGGAAACTCTTTTTTAACTTAACATGATGTCCTCAGGGTTGTAGCATGTGTCAAAATTTCATTCCAATAGCTTCTCATGTCAGGAATCATGTCAATAAGTGTGTCTCTTTGAATTTTTAAAAAAATAGTAGACATGAATGTAAAGTAACAAGATCTGTAAACAATATCAAAATGAAGTTCACACAGACTGCCCCTTCCCAACAGGGTGAGACCACAGGCCAACAGGGTGAGACACATGCCCACATGGCAATGGTGCTTAACTCCCCATGCTGACCTGCTGCTTCACTTACACTTTTCAGATTTTATGCAAATGTTTCTGTAAATAACTTCTAGCTGGACCCACACAGGCAAGAAAATTCTGGGAGAATTGGTTCTCCATTGTGAAATCTACCACAATGCTATTAGAGTGTATTCCAGATAGGAAACAGCTTCTATGTTGACCATAGACAAGAATGAAACTCTCTGTTTGCAATTTACATATCTGATGACTAGAATTTTCCACAATTGGTCTTAGCCGCCATAAATTTCAAACTTTGTTTCTCTTCTACTAGCCACACACTTCTGGTAGGTGCCCTGGGGGCACATTGTTATTGGAAAATGACCTCTGATCTTTAATACCTCTATGCAGGTGAGTTAGCACAGAGGGTAGTAATATTTCTGGAAGCCATTTGTAAACCAGGACTGCTAATAATAACTAAACATGGAATAATATCAATTATTAGTAGTTGTGAGTTTATTTCCCTTTTAGTTTTGATTTTCTTCTTTTCCTTAAATAAGTCCCTTTAACATTTCATGTGTGATGATGAACTCCTTTAGCTTTACCTTATCTGGGAAGCACTTTATCTGCCTTTCAATTCTAAATGCTGGATAGAGTAATCTTGGTTGTAGGTCCTTGCTTTTCATCACTTTGAATACTTCTTATAAGTCCATTCTAAGCCTGCAAATTTTCTTCTGAGAAATCAGCTGACAATCTTATGGTAACTCCTTTGGAGGTAACTCTCTGCTTTTCTTTTGCTGCTTTTAAGATTCTCTCTTTATCTTTAAATTTTGGAATTTTATTTATGATGTGTCTTATTGTGGTCCTCTTTCGTGTCTGTCTTGTGTGGGACTCTCTGTGCTTCCTGGACTTGTATGTCTATTTCCTTCACCAAATTTGGGAAGTTTTCTTTCACTATTTTTTCAAATAAGTTTTCAATTTCTTGCTCTTTCTCTTCTCCTTATGGCACCCCTATGATTCAAATGTTGGCATGTTTGAATTGTCCCAGAGGCTCCTCAGCTTATCTTTGTTTTTTTTTTTAATTCTTTTTTCTTCTTTCTGTTCTGATTTAATGGTTTTTTTTTTTCCTTCCTTATATTCCAAATCATTGATGTTCCACTCCACTGCTGGTTTCCCGTAAATTTTTCTTTATTTCACTTAGTGTAACCTTCATTTCTGCCTGGGTCTTTTTTATGCTCTTGAAGGACCCAGTGAGTTCCTTGAGCATCCTAATAACCAGTGTTTTGAACTATGCATCTCATAGATTGCTCATCTCCATTTTGGTTAGTTCTTTTTTCTGAAGTTTTGTTCTATTCTTTCCTTTGGGCCATATTTCTTTGTCTCCTTATTTTGGCAGCCTCCTTGTGTTTATTTACATGTATTAGGTGTAACTGCTTTGATTCCTTTGGTACTATGTCCTATTGTAGATAAGTGCACCAGTAAGTTGGAAGGGATGGAGCCTTAAGTAATTGTGAGGTTGGGGCAAACCACGTGAATCAGGTTGATGGAGTCTCAGATATGGTGTTGCCATTCTGTGGCTCTGTGTGTGGGAGGGCTCAGAAAGGGGACAATGGCCACTGTTTGGCCTCTGGAGTTTTGTCTTGGAGGAGACTGTCCCCCAGCACTTGCCTTTGATGCCAGACACTTCAGTTTCTCCCCATATGTTACTGCTGTCCTTCCAGCTGCTGCCCCAGTGCTGGAGCCCAGAGGTAGTGAGACTGTGTAAGTCCTAAGTCCTTTGTGGGCCCCTTAAGGGGATACCCCTGAGGATCCTGCAGTTTCTTTCACTACCCCAACCCCTACTGGTTTGTACAGCTAGAAGCTATGGGGACTTATCTTCCTGGCACTGGTGTTTTCAATTTTGTATTAAGGATATTTTCCAAGGTACACAAAGTCGAGGAACACATAATAAATCCCATTCTACTTCATGTACTGATCACCAAGTTTCAACAATTAACAGTGTTGGTTGATTTTCCTAGTACCCATCATCACCATCCCAAATCCATTATGCTCTAGAAGTGTGATATTTCTAGTTTCTATCTTTTTTTCTCAGATTCCTGCCAGGTTCTTACCCCATCAGATTGCTTAACTCAACAGGGTAATGGGTCTTATCAAATTATTCACCTGGATAAATTTCATATGTTTTTTTAAATACCTTTGGGGCAAACATACTTTATTTTGCTTTCACTTTTGGGGTCTGTGAGTAAAGACAGATTTGATTTGCCTCAAAGAAGAAACCCTGGATCCTTTTCTTTATTAGGTCTGGAAATACAGCCTCTGGAAATCCACACTCTATGTAGATAAAGTTTTATAAAGCTTTATTTAAAATATACCAACATTAGAAAACAGTTCTTAAAACCTGTCTGCTTGTAATTTCATGAAGAAGCTCAGTAAAATCACAGCAGTGTGGTGAGAATGGGCACAGCTGTAATATTTTTCAAGCAGAATCTGAAAGAAATTGAATCAGTTAACAAATAAGCCTTAAGGGTAAGGGCATTCTTAATAAGGATAACTACTCATGGGGCAGTTCTCAAAATTACGATGAGGCTGGTGGAACATATTCATCTTATATTTATTAAATACCTATCGCTGAGCCCAGAGCATACAGCAATGACAAGATATACCAGCTACCTGTTCTCAAAATGCTCAGTCTATTCCTATAGACAGTGTCTCTAAACCAGAGCACTAACTGTCTTTTTAAGTGGGACTGCCTGCATATTCCTAACCCTTCCCACTAATGATAATAACACACTCGAAAAGCCCACCTGAAGGCAACAATAAGAAAGTAAATTCACAAATACACAAATAAACATTGCAGTGAGGGCTGTGATGGAAATGATCAGGTTGCTCTTACAGTGAAATTGATTCACAGTGGGGTTGGAGGGGGTGATACTCTAGTTTGGGTCATCTGCACAGGCCCCTTTGCATGAGCAGCAGGTAGGATAAATGTTCTGAAAGATCAGAATTTGTAGCCACGAGTGTTCTGGAGACAGAGTGCAGTATGTTGCAAAGCCCTGAAGTGGGAGGGGGCTTAGTGAACATAAAAAAAAGTGGAAAGAAGGCAGGGGGAGGGTGAGATAAGATTGGAAAGACAGGCAGTCACCAAGTCACGTAAAGCCTTCAGGGCTGTAGGGAAGAATTTGGATTTTACTCTAAATGCTTCCCACTAGAAGCCACTAATACCTTTAAGAAAGGAATTGATGTGATGATAACAATGAGATGTAGTTAAAACTACTGAGCACTTGCTCTGGGCCAAACAAGGTTTAAGCTCTTTACATTAACTCAATGTAACCTTATAACAACCGTATGAGGTGAGTACTATCCATAGTCCCATTTTATAGATGACGAAACTGAAGCACTAAGAGCTTAAGTAACTTGGCCAAAGTCACAGAGCTAATAAACTCTGTTTTAATATCTTAACAGTCTCTCCACTATGAAGCAGGAATTGTATTTGCTGAAAAACTGGGCAGAGTTAAAGGAAAGAGTTGTTTGCTGGTCCCGGTCTTCAGCAAGCACTTCTTCGGCTCAGAAAGCCGCCCATTCCATGCATGTACATTCCATAATGGATTAACAGTTAACCGAGGCAAGCACATGGTGATGCTCACAAGCTCTTTAAGACAGTGTTTTTAACAACAAAAACAACAAATCTCTAGGAAACGTGCCCTGTTCTGGCTAGAAAACGCAAGGTGTGCCTATCCCTCCTTCAAAACCCCTCAAGCACGGGGAGAGTTGGGTGCAGTCCCTAGAAAACCTACTCGAGAGACAGCCCGCTACTCTGCCTACGACAGCAGGAAAGAAGTTTTAATCCCCGCAGGTGCGCAGAGCACGAGGGCGTGGCTTGCAGGGGCGGGGAGGGTGTGGAGGAAACCGGGTGTAGCCGGGATTGTCAGGGGCCGGACCTAAGAGGCGCGCGGGGGAGTGAGAACGTTAAGGGGCGTGGCGACGTCGGGTAGTATTGAAGGTCGAGTTCCAGGGGCGGGGCGAAGTGGGGACCGGCGTGGCGGGGGCGGGGCTCGTGCGTCGGAAAGATGGCGCTACGTCTTCAGCGGCGTGTGGTACTCGGAGCGGCAGCGACGGCGGTGCGGAGGCTGTGAGTGCAGGCTCTCCCTACCCCATGGGCCGGAGGCGGTTTCCCGATTCTTGTCGGGAGCCCCGGCGAGCTAGAGCAATGTGCACCTCCCGTGCGCCGGCTCGACCTCTGTCAGCCAAGGTCGTCGACGTCCCGCAAGCGTCGCCCCCACTGCTCTTGCCTCCCTGTGGGAGGACTCTTGCTTGGATCTGGAAAATGGGTGCCCAGAGTCGATCTGTCAGGCCCAGAAAACAAACTAGTTTCCCCCACAAATGGTAACTTTGAAAGTGCACATGTTTTATAAAGGGAGTCCTGGAGTTAGCTGCAGAGGTTGCTCACCTAATGAATAATATGTTCAGCACAGCGGTTCCCAAATTGGGCCAAGGACCCCTTTGCACGCGAAAAATTATTGAGTACGTAAGAGCTTTTGCTTGCTTGTATGTTGATTTTTACGGTATGAGGAATGAAAACAAATTTTAAAAATATTTATTTAAAAATAAAAAAAACCCTGTTCTACCACAAATGACATCTTTAATGAAAAAGAAAACTTTAAAACAGTAACAGTGGCATGGTTTTATGTATTTGAAAACCTTTGGTTTAATAAAGGACAGTTGGAGTCTCATATCAGCTGTTCTGGAGGAAGTTTACAAAGAAATTTCGAGCACAGGCAGATGCAGATACTAGTTGGAAAAGGGCAGACGTTATAGACCCTTTCAAAGGTTATCAGAGACGTCCCCGCAGGTGTCCTCAGACCACACTTTGAGAACCGCTGGTCTAGTACTCGCCTGAACATAGGTTATCTCATTTGAGTCGCCGACCACTATGTGAAGTTGGATGACTTGTTCCTAAAAATGAGGAAATTGAGGCTCAGTGGTCAATTCAGAAACTAAGTCTGTGGCTCTGGAACTTTTTACTTTCGCCTCCTTCCTGCTTCCTGACTCACCGTTGTCCCAGGACCCACCTGGTTGTATGCATCCTTTCCCATTCTTACACCCAGGCCTGGTATATGGCCTGGGCTCAGGGGATAACCCATGGAAGCAGAGGAACCATTGAGGCGTGTATTCACATCCTTCCAGAAAGTCTCTCTTCTGACCTGTGAAGAGGCCAGCTTTTGTGGCCTGTTGATTGATTAGTTGGTCCAGTGACCACACACAGTCACCTTCTTCTGAGGTGCTTGGTGTTCAGCGTACAGTGCTCTTCACCTCCATTGACAATTGGCTCATTCTCAACGCCCCTACACACCCCGCCAAGGCCATGGCCGCAGACCTTCATGCAGGGCGCTTCCCAGAGACTACATCCTGAGTTAAATCCTTCTATCCGGGGGTCTTCAGAACACACAGGCATGAGAGAAGTAAAAGGGCTAAATTTCCAACTTAGAAAAGTCTTTTTAGAGAGGTCTCCATTTCTACGCAAGTTGGGTTGCACTTCAGCTTCAGACCAACGGGCCTGCTTCTGCTGGCTTTTCCTTCCGCTTTTAGAGTATCAGCACCATTGCTGCTAGTCAGGGACCGTTCCTGACCCCTCTTCCCAAAAGTTAAACATTTATCCTTGTTGCAGTGCTGTCCCAGATGCTTCTTTGTCCATCCTGTCTCCAACCCTGCTGCTCTCTGTGGTCACTGCTCAATTTATATAAATACTTTGCCCTCAAGTTGGGGGAGCATAACTTTTCACTCTTAGGGGTGCTATTACTAGGAGTGCCATTTCTTTTAAATCCTTTCAGCTGATAGAGCAAAGAAATATGTGTGTGTATGAACACTAACCCATGCATATACATACAACTACAAATATTTCTATATGTAACCATCTGTAGCTCCATTAGGCTAAACATCAATTCATATCGTCTCAAGTTCTAATGCATTACTACATGGATCATTCTAGCTTTATCCCCTTGCTTATTTGTAAATTTTCTCTCCAACAGTGAGAAGCCTGGCTCCCACCGTCATCCAGTTACTTAATTGTTTAATTTCAGCAGGTTCATATAGCAGTATCTGAATTGTTAGGCCATACTCCGTGGTAATAAACTATCAACTAGAGTACAGTGCTCTCTGCAGTTCCTTTCCCTTCAGTCTTACAGGCTCCACTCATTTCCAAAGTTAGTTAGGTTAGCACCTTTTCTCCTAGTCCATCTTCAGTGCGGTTATTTCGTATATTTGTAATACAGTTAGATTCTGTTGTCACAGTCTGCATTCTTTGCTGGGATCCCTCTACTTCCCAAATGACCTTTTCTTTTTTCTTTTTTCCTAGTTGCATGTATTAAGGGTCACTCTTTTTTTCCCATAACGTTCTTTGGGTTATGGCAAATGACTGATTTCATGTGTCTACCGTAACAGTATCATAAAGAATAGTTTTACTTCCCTGAAAATCTCCATGCTTCACCTATACATCCATCCACCCTCTGAAACACCTGGCAAAGCACTGATCATTTTACTGTCTCTATAGTAGTTTTGCCCCTTCCAGAATGTCATATAATTGGAGGCATACAGTATATAGTCTTTTTTGACTGTATTCCTTCACTTAGCAATATGCATTAAGAATTCTCCATGTCTTTTTGTGGCTTGATAACTCATTTCCTTTTATTGCTGAATAATGTTCCATTGTACAGATGTACTTATTGAAGGACACTTTTGGTTACTTCTAGTTTTTGTTGATTATGAATGAAGCTGCTATAAATATTCATGTGCAGGTTTTGGACATAAGTTACAAATCAATTAAGTAAATACCTGGGAGTATGATTTTATGGTAAGTACGAAACTGTTTTCCAAAGTGGTTGTACCATTTTTCATTCCAGGTATGAATGAGATGTCCCTGTTGCTCCGCACCCTCGTCAGCATTTAGTATTGTCAGTTAAAATTTTTTTTTTAGCTATTCTAATAAGTATTGCTTTAATATGTTAATTTTTTTAACTTGAAATTGCTTGATGTCAAATGACATTGAACATCTTGTGTTCATTTGCCTTCTATGTATCTTTGGTAAGGTGTTTATTCAGACCTTCTGCCTATTTCTTAACAGGGTTGTTGTCTTATTGTTGAGTTTTTAGTATTGTTTACATATTTTAGATATAGGACTTTATGTTTTGCAAATATTTTCTCCCAGCCTGTGCCTTATCTTTTCATTCTCTTAATGGTATTGTTCATAGTACAGAAGTTTTTTATTTTAATTAAGGCTGGAGTTTCAATTTTTTCTTTTATGAATCATGTTTTTGGTGTTATATTTAAAAACTCATTCACAAATCCAAGGTTACATAGATTTTCTCCCATATCCTCTTTTAGAATTTTCACAGTGTTGTGTTTTATACCTAGGTCTACGGTTCATTTTGAGTTAATTTTTATAATAGGTGTCAGGTTTGTCTAACTTCTATTGCATATTGATCCAATTGGTCCAGCCCATTTGTTGAAAAAACTACCCTTTCTCCATTAAACTGCCTTTGCTCCTTGTCAAAGATCAGTTGACTTTATTTGTATGGGTCTGTTTCTAGCCTCACTATTCTTACATATACCTCTCTTGTTTCACCAGTACTGTACTGTCTTTGTTACTGTAGCTTGATGTTAAGTCTAAAGTCTGGTGGTATCAGTCTTAAAACTTAAGTCTTCTTTTGTATTGTGTTGGCTATTCTGAATCTTTTGCCTTTCTATATAAACTTTAGAATCAGTTTGTTGATATCCACAACATAGCTTGCTGAAATGTGTTTGGGAATTACATTGAATCCATAGATTAGATTGGGAAGAATTGACGGCCTAACATATTGAGTCTTACAATCTATAAATGTGGAATATCTCTTTATTTATTAAAATCTTTCTGATTTCTTTCATCAGAGTTGAATAGCTCTCTGGAGATATACCTCATACATGCTTTGTTAGATTTATGCCTAAGTATTTCATTTTTTGTTTTTTTGGTGCTATTGTAAATGATATTGTATTTTAAATTTCAAATTCCAATTGTTCACTGATGGTATATAGGAAAGCAATTGACATTTTGATACTAATTTTGTATCCTGCAAGTTTGCCATAATCACTTACTAATTTCATGAATTATTTTTGTTAATTCTCTGGGATTTTCTGCATAGACAGTCATGTCGTTTCCAAACAAAGACAGTTTTATTTCTTTTTCCCCAATATGTCTACCTTTTATTTCTTGTCTTATTGCACTAGATAGTGGTTCCAGTAAGAAGCTAAATAGAAGGGACGAGAGGGACATTTATATTAGGTAAGAGAAAAAAGGAGCAGAAATATGCACTTACACGGTGTTTTATAATTATAAAATTACCTGTACCATTGCTCTTTGTGTGTGTGAAGTTGAATTATGGGGTCATTTACTTAAAGCCTGAAAAACGTCCATTAGTATTTCCTGTAAGGTGGGTCTGCTAAGCAGCCCCACCTGTGCATGTCCTTTTAGATTCCTGGGAACATGACATAGCTTTTCAAAGCTCCCTATGGACATCTCATTCTCCAGTTTTTTCTGTTAAGCTTTTTGGTTAGTCTGTTTTGGTCCCAATTGTTACCCACCGTCTCAGGTAGCTATGATGCTAGATAATTGCTTCTGATTGTTATCAACAAACACCCTCAGAAAAAATGCTGTTTTCACTTTTTGAGCTCTGAGTCAGGCTAGCTTTCCAAGTGAAGTCTTCCAGGGAACCACCAGACAGGCCGAATAGTGACCGTTCTCTGGGAATGAGGCTTTGAAAGAGCTCTAATCCTGCCCTGCCTCCTCCAGTGGCTGCCAGGCTGCTGGATTTCACTGAACTGGGGAGAAGGGGGATAGGGTAGGTTTACAAAAAACCAAAACGCACATAGTTTGTTGTTCTTACCATTCATCCATGTTTCTTGAGTAAATGCTTCCAGATTGTTGCAAGACTTGAGTTAAGTTTTAGAGTTCTGAAAAAAGTTGATTCTAACAATGTTTATCAATATTTTCATTGCTGTTATGGAGGATAGGATTTTTGAAGGTCCTTTTTCTGGAACTTTGCTGAAGTCACTCTGGCTTAGAGTTTTGATCAAGAATGGGTTTGAAGGTGAAAGGATTAA